AGCAGGGGCCTACGCCGTCACCGGCGACTCACAGCAGCCCAGCTCCAGGTTGAGCTGTTGTTCAGCATCTTAGCTGCAGAGGGCAGTGTCACTGGTCCTCATATGTGGGATCCGAACCCGGGCCCTCTGGCGTCCCAAGCCAGCTCTTAACCAATGTGCCACTCAGCCAGCCCTAAGCAAATCATCTTTTCCTTAATGTATTTGCACATGCAAAAGGACTGAGGAGTTGTTATATTTCCTTTCCGGTTTCATCTTTTTAATCACTGTGCAACACATCCCAAACACTGTATGAGACTCAATGAAATAGCTTCTTCTTCCAGTATGAAACAACAACAAAAAAATCCCCCCGACAATCTCAAACATTTCTGAGAAACTCTTCTATATAATCAGGTATGTGATTCTGAATAAACACCTCTAAGTCATCATGTTCTTAACACAGACTTCTATAGGTACACTTGGAAATTGCTTCCCAACCAGGATGAACACTGCATACAGGTTTTTTTTACAAAACGTACCCAGATGTACATTAATTTTTAAAAAATCAGTTCCGTCAAGCCAAACTTTATTTTGCCAAAACCGATAATCCTGAGAGCCTAAACTAAAAAACTAGTAGCTGAGGAGTTTTTCTACACCTCCTTCTGTTGCAACGAGATTCGCCTACTGGCCCAAGTTCTATGCTGATCATATCTTGGGAGATGGGGGGCACAGAACTTATGGAAACATGATCCAATTTATTAAAGGATACACCATTGCTTGTAGGGTATTAACCTCACTTAGTACTGGGTGCTTTGAGAAGTTTCCTTATCAAATGTCTGTCAAGTAATGAGTAACTTTAAGGAATAACATAATAATACATTATAATGTTATTACCACTTGGAATAAAGAAGAAAATGTTCAATTTTGGGAAACTTACCACCGAGACAGGGTCCATGGCCTCTTGCTTGACAGGGACTGGATCAAACATGAGCATTCTTTTAGTTAAGCTTGCTAGGGTGCTCGGGTGTTTGGCCTAGAAAACAAAACAAGGTGTCCGTCTAAATCCCAAGGTTACTTTAAATATAAACTAATAAAAATAAAATATAATATCCCTCACTCCCCCTTCCCTGCTCCTTCCTTTCCCCCGCCCCCAGGATGGCTGGAATTTGTTCCCCTTACCTATGAAAGATGCCATTTTGTGTAATTAAAACCAGACTCTGTGGTTATAGCCAGATGAGAGCCAACTTGCATTCCTAACTCAAATACATAAACCCTGACATTTCTGGAACAATATGTCCAGTCCGTTCTGAGCAGCAAAACTTGCTTAAGATTGCCGTGCAACTCAACAGAAGTTCACATTATTTCACATTATATATGAATGCTAACCACCTTTCCTTTCCCCTTACGTTCATTACAGAAAAATCAGGAAAAAAAGACAAACAAAAAGAAAACCTACAATCAACCATCATTAATATCTTTGTTTTGGGCCGGCCGAGTGGCTCAGCTGGTTAAGAGCTCGCTTGGGAGCGCCAGCTCTGAGCAGCATGGCTGCGGTTTGGATCCCACACTCAGGGCCAGTGACGCTCGCCCTCTACAGCTAACATGATGAACAACCGCTCAACCTGGAGCTGGGCTGCTGCGAGTTGCCGGCAATGGCGTAGGCTGCAGCAGGGCTGCAGTGGGCTACTGTGAGCTACGTGAGTGGCTGGCAGCCAGCGTGAGCGGCTGGTAGCTGGTGTGAGCTACCAGGAGCCGCTGTGAGCGGCCGACCAATGACCGGCAACCGACTGCCACACCCGGGAAGAGCACAATGATCATACCAACATGGGCCAGTGAAGTGACATCCTCCACAACTAGACTGAAGAACAAAACAGCAATTTGTCTACCTGTCTGTTCCCCTTCCCTGATTCCCTAATGCTGTTACCCTCCCCCTAATTCCCCAATAAAATCTTCAAAAAAAAAATCTTTGTTTTTATCTTTGCAAACTCCCTTTTTAAAATTGGATTATTGTATGCATACAATTTAGTACCCATAATTTCACTACACAATGTATTGTGAAAACGTTTCTTCTTCAGTAAGCATGGTTCCATACCATCAAATTCAGTGTGCCACTGTGTGAACAGATCAGTTTACGTCAATTATCCCTTTTTACAGGGCACTTAGGTTGCTTCTAAATCTTCACCATTACAGACGGCAGTGACCATCTTTATACTTACATCCTCCTACACATCCTTAATTAATTTTTAGGACAAGTTTTATGAAGGGGAATTGTTGGGTGACAAGCATGTACATCTTCCAAAGCATGTGATGTACCACCCAACAAAGATGCTCTATTATTTCTATCAATAAAATAGAAGCTGTTTCCCAACATTTCTACCAGCAACCTGTATTATCATTTAAAAAAAAACACAAAAAAACTTTGCCAATTTGTTAATATCAAAATGGCAAATTATTTTTATTCTACATTGATTTAATTACTGAAGTTACAAATTTTATTTCTATTTACCATTTACATATCTTCTTTTAAGAAATGCCTATTCAGGTCTCACACACACACACCTTATTGTCTTCTAAGTACTTTTTCTATATGAAGAATATTAGCTTGTATTCACGCCCACTCTTGCAAATTTCCTCATTAGGAAATCAGCCAATCTTTAGCCTAATGCAAAGGAAATTTGCATCTTGATCCTGTTCAGTCTTTCTCTTCTCTGCTTCTATTGTTCTGCTCATGTTATGCATGGTTCTGCATTCTATACTAGTCCACGTCTAGCACTCATCTACATAAAGTCAACTGCTTCCTCGCGGGACAAACCATCAGTCTGCTGGATGCTACACTGCATTTCACATGTTCCAGAATCACTGCCCAGTGACTACCCAGGCCTTCAACAACCTGCTTCAGGCCCTTCCTATACAAATTTGGCTTCAGTGTTCTGTACTTTGGTTAGAGATAAGGTCTTTATAAGTCACTTTGGTTTGGGTGGAAAAGTGAACAAGCCTTAGATTCAGTTCTACCTGAAAAAGTTGTACAAGTTCCTGGTTCTAGATTACTTCCTGTATTTCAGAATTAAAAACTCCCCAACTCCGTAAGGGCGATCTTGCATTTGTTATGTCCATGCTCTATAGGTTATATTATGATATCTTCGCATATAATTATAAAATAAAACTGTGTAGTTCTTGAGCTTCTTGCTTCCTTGGAGAAAGCCTGTTCTGGGCCTCATGACAACATGTGACTGTCATTAACTCAACAAAAGGCCCTGACTTCAAAATTCTATTCTCCTACATCACAGGATGTATTATCTTCTGTGAACACAATCTGATACCAGGCTGTTCAAATCAATGACCTTACTACCCTCTTATGTGTTCCAGCAAAGACCAATCCCAACAGCCAGTAAAAAATGATTTCATAAAGAAGGATGAAAACCCCTTTTGTGCCTTGAGATCTATTATTAACCAGTTCCCAGCCTAGCAGCTGTACAGACAGATTTGGTTCTAAGGACTGCTGTCCAGGGCCCCATAGAGGACCGACCGTCAATAAAAGATGTGCCATCTCCCGCTTATATCAGTGAGGTCAGATAATTCAGCAGCCCTGCCCCATGGCCGGCCAGCCACCACTCCCCCAAGCCTTGAAACTGACTTGACTCTTTCAGATTCATCCACGCTACTCCACAGTATCTTGATGCAAATCCTTTGAAATAAAAGCACTCATATTTTCAGTTGTATCTGGTCGCAAGAATTGCATCCTAGCCCTGCCACGGGGCAACTCTTTTCACATGTAAAATGAGACACCTCTTTTAACCAATTCTAAAATATTTACTGGCAATGTTTTAAAATCAAATTAGAATAACAAAAAACCTTCAAAAACCGAAAAACAAAAGAAAGCTCATTTGTCCTCCAAATCGTTTATATCAACAAACATGAACACAAGTTTTGGATATACATACTGGACACACAGCGCTAAGTTTGTTGGTCCCGATTCTGGAGCAGTGTCAGGGGTTTGCCTCTTAAGAAGCTAACACACCTAGCCGTAGAGGTCAACCCCTCTACTCAAGTCAGTTTAAAAGTGAATAGCTGCCTATATCCTGTATGAGATCTCATATAGGACCCCTTGTCCCTTCAGCACCTCACCCCTGCAACAGCCTAGCATCTCCACACCTCACCTCAAGATCTTTACTACCATTAAGACCAGCATAGTGGAATTATGATGATGGATGGGCTGTGGAGTTCATTTTGGGTCAAATTCTAACTCCACCATTTAGCTCATAAAGCCTTCAATGACTTTTCTTAATGCCCACAGCAATGACTACTGAATCCATTTAGAAAGGAATTACACATTAACCTGCCATATCTTGTATCATTTTAAGACATTACTGAAATCACTTTTGTTCTTTAATTTGTATGTGTTATCTAAATTTAAGGGTATTAGTGCTTTGCAAGACTTGTAATCATAAGAGAAAAAAAAGGTCTAAAGCATCTGTTCTAGCAAAACCAGATTCATTTTTATGAAAAAAAAAAACAAAACTGTAAAGATTGTTTATTTATTCAGAACTGTACCTTAGAGTAACTCAGTCATGATGAAGGGATATTTCTCATTATAGAAATATTTCAGCTAATAAATGAAGAAGGGGTGATAGGATAAGAATACCTCATTTTGAAACTCCAAGTTAAATAATCCATCACTAGACGATAAATTTAAAAAGTCTGCAAAATTCAAATTATCACTATGGACAGAATCAAATTCACTGTCCATTCACATGTCTAACAGCATTTTGTTTCCAACCTGGAAACTTCTAAAATAGCTGATTATACTTTCAGTGATAGTCACAGGATATAGAACAAGAGAAGATACAGGACATGTAAAGAAAACACTGTGCCCTAATCTGTTAACAAGAGCTTCTTGGGAGTAGGGGTGGAGATGGGACAGCTTTATACACTTCTGAGTGCCAATTAAAAATTTTTTTAATTCTATAACTAAAACTTTTAACAAAAACAGGTGAGGGAAGCTAAGCTAGAAAGGAACCAAATTTAGGAAGACAATCAAACACATTAACACAAATCAAGATTTTATTTATTTGCAAAAAACTCATATATTCTGTACCTACCTATTATGCTTATCTCTGAATAGACCACTTTTGCCACTGGTATTGACTTTGTCTTTGGGTCAGAGAAGAGTGACTGCAGTGTCTTCAAAGTGCCTTCCATGTAACTGAGCAGTAACTGAAGCACTGGAAGGACTAGAGTCCCTAAATTTAGTGGCTTTAGTTCCACATGGGCAGCTCGGTGCTCTGGTTACATTACCATGATTTTAAAAGCATGCTAGAAAACTACAAATGCTGTAGAAAATCTATTACACAACACTGACAGCAATCTTACGCAGAACCAGTAGGTGGCGTGCTAAAACAGGTGATTAGGACACTGGCAGCAAACTGAGTTTGCCAATTTAGAGGATTTAATTTAGTTAAATTTAGTGGGTTTAAAGCAGGCTCAGGAATTCTGTTAACCATTTTATGTGGGTATCATAGACACGATGAGGCCCCAAATGTGGTTCTGTTGTTTCTCACAACTATTTTCCGACCATAAGCACATTTATATCTTAGTTGTATTTAACTAGCCTAGCAGAGAGATATTCTAAACTAAGGATCCCAGGATGACAAAACTGCATGGGGGGGGGGGGGGGGGGACGGACACACTGGTTCTAAAAACTAAATTATCGGGTTCTTAAAAACAAAAATACAGAAACATCATTGCCAAAGTAATTTTCTGTAACTGGAGCAAATGTCATCTTCCCCAACTATGTTACTTTGCTGGGAGGGGCCAATACAGCTGAATTTTCCTCCAAAAGAAAGAAAAGAGATTTTCCCTTCACACTCGCTGCACTTATACTTCTGACTTTTCAGATGTTAAAATAAGGGTCAGGTTTTTGCCCAAATGGAAAACTGCATGATTATGTATTAAATAGCTTCGGTGAATCATTGACATGAAGTTTCATAAGTAATATGCTTGCATCTCACAGTCCTATTCAGTCCCCTATGCTTTATGAGGGTACAAATGCACTACAGAGCTCAGAAACACACACAGCCCTTAACATAAGGTTATGATTTACCTTTGAAAACTCACTTGTCTTGAAGCTACAGCATGTTTATTACAAAAACAACTTTATAAATGACTGCCGCCCACCCTCTTAAAAGTAAGAAAGAGAGAGGGAGCGAGGGAGACAGAGGGAGAGAGAAAATGCTTGGTTTCTTGGTGACATAGCAGGATTTGCCTGTGACATTCTCCTTTCTCATCTCCCTTTTTATGCTCTTTGAATATCTTTATTTCTTTCCTCAGATCCTCAAAGAGTTTCTGCATTATCCTTTCCCAGCCCCGCCTGACCCTAAGGCTCCAAATTACCTGCCTCCCTCAAACCAAACCTGTTTCCTAGTTGACCTAAGCCAGGTGTAAGGAGAACAGTAGGATCAAACCAACACACCATCTGTTAAGTGCCCACCCCACCCCACCCCACCAACTCTCCCAAGTGTTTGGATAGTAAAGGAGGAAGCATGTTACCTTCCCCCACCCTTTAATCCCCAAAGGAACTTCAGGGAAAAAAGGGGGAAAAAACTCAAATAAAGAAGCCCATCTCTGCGTGTAGGTGTAATTTTTGGCCAGGAGGAGGACCAGAGCAGGCAGGCAACATCCCTGTAGCTAAACTTCCTTTCCAGAGAAACTTTTCTTTCTTTATTTCTGTACCCAACCTCCTCAGGCTCCCGAGGAGCTGAATATTTAATGGCAGTTGCTCTGGCCAGAAGTATTGTACACGGGGCCAGGCAGCAGATGTAAGCAGGCATTTTTAAGTTGCAGGCTCCTTTGAGAACAGCCAGATGCTGACACCTACCTGGAAACGCGTCCTGTTTTCATATCACTTGACGATTTTCACCTACCTCAGTCTTCTCTAGTTGGTTTGAAAAGGAAAAAGATTCCATGGAGTATTTCTAAATATTTGCCCCTCATAAATTAGATATTTTGCATCAAAATGTTTTGTAAATGGGAAAGAAGTTAATTATTTAGTTTCAGATTAAATATAATGATCCAGTGAGCAAACAATCCGCCCTCTCTCCTCTCTCAGCTAACAAGCCACCCAATTTTTACTTTCCTGCCTCCACCCATCTGCTCCACCCTATGGAGAGTTGCCAAGGCAAGTCCAACTTGTCCAAACAGGACATGGCTTCAGATAAGATTCTGCCCACACCCTGTACTTCGGAAAGACCGAGTGAAGCAATTGATTTTGCATGTAAATAAGGACAGGTGCAAAGGTAACAGCCAAGCAGTCCCTACACATTTGCAGACTGAGGCCCAGCAAAGCAGGGGTGGGGGTGAGGAAACCCAACCCCTACCTTGTAAGTCAACTCAAGTTTGCCTGCACCTGGCTAGTAGCATTCCACAGCTTTCTTACAGAAATTTTAGCAAATGCTAATCACTTTCCCTACTGGAGTTACACACTGGTTTTCCTTCCTTAGGCTGACAACTTAGTTTTAACGGCAAGCAACCCAAGAGCGTATGAAAAGTACCCATGGTGTGTAATCCTGCTGTGTGCATTATCTTACAAGGCCTGAGCCCTGGCAATTCTCTTCTGTGAGGCATTATATAATCAAATCCAGAAGGGCTGCGTGAGGCCAGTCTGCCTCGCTGCTGCTCGCTGCTCGGTGCCCTATCACTGGAGACCCACCCCACTCCACCCAAAGGAGCCTCCACCCATCGGGCCCCACCCTGGAGGGAGTGGGAGACTGGGAGGGACCAATTGGCTCCAGTGAGCAGCCAGTTCCTGGAAACTCTGGCCTCGGCCATGATGGCTGGAACCTTAAAAATAACCAGAAAGAATCGTCAGGGTGGTGGCACTTTCCTGGGCTCCTGAAGATTTGCCATTACAAGTTTATTTCATAGAACCCCAGAACCTTTGGATATGAACCATGAGCTAATACTGCCTTCTCCCTTTAAAAGAAAAGCATTCTGACCCATGGCTACGTAAGAGAATTAACTCAACATGTCCCAAAGCCAAATTCTCCCCCCTCCTCACTTACTGCTCAGTCACCATGGAAACCTACAGGTCATCTTTCAAGCCTTCCTCATCAACTTTTCTTTCCGTTTCTACTATTGTCATTGGAGGCCAGGTCCTCAGTGCCTCAAGACTGTTCCTGGGGCTTCCCCTTCACTGGTCTTCCCACACCGTCCCTTCATCCCTCCAACTCATCCCGACCCCCTTTGTCACCTACATTTCTCAAAGCCCTCTCTCATCTAGTCTTTCCCAAGTTCACAAACCTCCCTCCCTCCAACGGGATCCCAGGGCTTGTGCAGTGGGTTCTGGCAGCACCCATGCTGAGCACCCCTTAACAAACCAGCTGCCCCCTGCTCCAAAAGCGCCCTTCCTGCTGGCTGCTGGCTGCCCTGCCCCCACCCCATGCCTTTGTTCATTTTTGGCCCTGATGCTGGGCAACCAGTGTGGAATGCCCCGTCCCCTTCCTTTCCGGCTTATCTAAATCCTCCTAATTCTTCAAAGACCAGCTCAAGGCACTCCCCACTCTGTGCAGCCAGCTGATTGCACTCCAGGAGATGTGAGGCCACCTTCGCACCTAGATAGGGTGGGCCTTTTAACTTGCCAAATGGAAGTCTCAGACCACACCAGAGCACCTAAAGGTCAGGAGTGCCAATTCTTCCTGAGAGGGCACCCTCCCCGCTCCCCAAAGGTTTTTTTGGTCCTGCATGAGGAGCGAATATAAAAGCACTCAGCCCAGAGCAGGAGTCCCCCAATCATCTCCCTTTCCCATTGAATACACTTGAAATCTCCCTAAAATAAGTAATGCGGGTGAGGGGGGTCCTAACACTAATGGAAACCAAACTTCTTTTAAAACAGTTATTGCTCTTATCTTTAACCTTGCCTGAGACCTTATCAGTATCAACCTCAAAAAACTTTTTATTTACCCACCCAGAAAGATCTTCTAAACAAGTCTAATGTCAAAGTCTCTACTCTGAGAGCCTAAAATAAAAAAATAAAAAAAATTTAAAAAAGGGAAAAAAATGAGAGAAAGGAGGCGATTGCATGAAGAGAAAGGGAAGGGAGGCAAAACCAAATAAAACACTAGGTGTTTTTTTTTTTTTTAAAGGATACTTCCCTTGACCAAAGAAAGCAGGTGCTAAGTAATGCCACAGGTTTCCTGCTGATCCTCACCACCTCCATGACTGGCAATCTCCAGGTGTTGTTCTTTACATGGACCATATCATTTAATGCGCAGAAAGTGGGTATTACCTTCCCATTTTACTGACGAGAACATTGGAACAGAGAGGTAAAGTAATCTGCCCCCAAATCACACAGCTGCTAAGTTGTATAGCCAGGATTTGAACCCAAAGTAGTCTGACTTCAAGGTATACTTGGCACCCCACTCTTCTGCCTCCCCAAGCAGAGAACAACATCGCACCATAACCAGCATTAGAGGGATAGCGATATGTGCAAACAGATCTGTCCATGAGGGATATGGAGTGTGGGGACAGTGTATTTACAGTAGTGGCAATTTCAACCCCTCCCACCCGGCCCCTGCTGCCTACCCTCTCTCTAAGAGTGCAGGCTTGGACGCAAGATCAAAAGACACACTCCGAAGGCCCCAAATTAGGCTATTATCCTTCCTAGCCAATGCACCTGCAACTGGTCCATAAAACTGCTGAGAAAAATTGGCAGCTTTACTCAAGTAAATACGGAAATCCTCATAATAACTGTACAAAGGTGGAAGGGTCAGGTCCTCATCCCCATTTTAGAAATGAGGAAATGGAGGAACAGAGGTGAAATGACTTGCCCAACCAAATTCGCAGAGCTGGTTGGAGCTGCAGCCAAGAACAGAAGTGAGTCTGCCTGCAGACCCAGGGCTTTCTGTTTTGCTTCGGTCTGTGCTGTGGGACCGACTTTTAAAATCATTTTGCACTGGGGTCACGCCCCTGGTACGCAGGGTGTGGGACGTGTGCACTGCCACACTGGGCCACGCTAGGCAAGGCCATGGGGAGGTTCCAGAGGACAATTAAGATTTCAACACACCTTTTCAGGTTAGAGCTCTCCAGACCTACTCCATCCTGTGGCATAACTAAGACGAATGACTGCACATAATCTGAGATTAGCGCTAATGAACAGGTGCTCACTGAATACTTGTGAGATGCATACACGAATGCATGTCAGACTACACTTCTCACGTGAGAGGATGAAATGAAGGGCAAAGGCCTCAGAACGACCATCTACCAGGTGTCACAGAAAATTTGTCTGGTGGACCAGTGAAACTAGCCTGAAAAATCATCTTCTAAAACCTAAAGCACACACACACACACACAAATGTGAAAACTTTGGGAGGCTCCCCAGAGAGGAGAGAAAACTCCGTTGTTTGGAGAACTAAGTGGATGGAACAGGAACTTGAACTAATGAAAGTAATTCTGGGGTGCAACACTTTAGAAGGTATCAGGGTATAAAGTGCAAGAACCAGATGAAGGAGTGGATTTCAGTGATTACACTCAAAGAACCATAGTAAGAAGAACGAACATATAGGCCAAGAGAAAAAACCTACACCTGAGTCCCAGGTCGCTCTCCAGGGTAGACGTACTGACTTCAATGTCCACTTGACCTCCTATGTCTAGATTTGGCCAAGCTCCACTGATCTGGGTTGAGACTAGCTCCAGGCCATCCCTGGACATCCCCAGGCCTGCCAGAGATTGACAACCATCTTGAGCATGTCTCAGGCTAAGCGGGGCTCTAAGGGTCCTCCTGGAAGGGGGCTGCCTCAGGAAGCACCCCCTTCATAGAAATCAGGGTAAGAGCTAGACTCAGGGTTACACGGAATTCATGGGTTGAAGGGCCACTTAACCTGCTACATTTGGTCTCCAGCTCCCCTAATAATTAGAGGGGGAACATGATCATGTATTCAGCCTGCCAACACAATGGAGTGAATTTCAAAAAGCTCCAGGACCTGTTTCGCTAGAGAAAGAATTTTACTATTAAACACTCTGACTGAGGGATGTGAAATAATACTGATAATTTTTAAAATATTCCAATAAACTATGGTGACATTCCAGGAAGAGCATAGACCCAACTGGAGGACATGTTTTGCTTTGGGGGAAAAACAGGCCCAGTTCTGGCTCAGAAACAGTGTCTCTAGCATTGTGTCTCTTTTATTACTGCTAAATTTCAAGGAAGGAGAGTTGGGGAGAAGGGGGTTGGGCAGCAGGGCCCCTCCTTTGGACAATGCTCTCCCCTATCGGGGCAGACCGCTGTTTGGTTTCCTGTGTCAGGCTCTGGCATCACTGCTTCAGATGACAAACTGGGTCTAAGAAAGGGACAGATCAGGCTTGAAAATGAGAATGCTAAAAAGCCATCATAATACTTCCCTTCCACCTCACTCCAAAATGAATTTTGACTAGACTATTGCATGTTCGCAAAGCAAATATCAATTGTTTTTTTACTCTATGGTTTGTTTGTTTTAAAGCTAGAACCAATGATAAATAAAGCACTTCAGAAAGAAACCCAATTTCTAGAATAATGTAGTAAAGGATGAAGTTGTATTTGTTTGTTTATTTTTCCATAAACACAACTGGGTGGGAAAACAGAGTATGAAATACCACTTAAGAAAGCTGTTCGTTTTATAGCAAAAATGTTGATTTGTAAATATTAAGATGGCAGATTTTTTTTTTTCCTGATAGAATATATTAGACCCTAATCATCTCTATTAACACCTCCCTCTTCCCACAAATGAGGAGGGGAAGAATGATTTGGGGTAAGATAAACAAAAAAACTCAGTCTACTAAATCTAGTTGGGTTGTTAACATGTTAACGACTTTGGAACTAAAAAAACAAACAAACAAACAAACAAACAAAAAACCACCAAAACTTGCTTCAGTTTGGGTTACTTATGAATTTCAGTTTAAAGGCTTCTTGTCCTAAAAGTCAGCATAATTATTTCAAGTTTGCTTCCTCCAAAGAAGAAAAAAAAAAAATCTTACTGAAACTTTCCAAAACTCCCATCTTTTTTTTTTAAGGAAGGTTATCAGTAGCCTAATATTTGATCCTAGTAGCTTTCTTAATATTATATTGTATATTTATCCATAAAGAAAGAATGTGGTAGAACAAGGCATTAAAACCAAGGCACCACTATTATCATCAATTTTTGGAAGTATAGGGCCTGGCTTGCAGCCTCAGCAGCTTTAATTTAATTCCATTAGAGA